TTTAAACCACAGAGACTTTAGAAGAAGTTTAGACTGTTTATGATAATGTGTTCACTTTGGTGAGTGGCACATCGCGACTTGAAGTTTGGACCTTCAGGTCCGCAGCACGGTACGCTAACAACTAGGCCATGCCTGATGTTTTAAACCACAGAGACTTTAGAAGAAGTTTAGACTGTTTATGATAATGTGTTCACTTTGGTTTCCATCATATTCATATGGTAAGCTGGTTGATTATTACCACTTTTACATATGATCTAACTGACACTATGACAGTTCTCTCTGGTAACATCTTATGCTGTTTGGTTTATCTTATAGCATATGTTGAAAGTATTAACAGATAAACTGACACAAGTTCATTCTGTTTAAAATTCACTCTTCAAACGGATATCTTCGAGTTCCATTCATGAATCATGGTTGGTTTGTTTGTTTGTCTGTTTTGAATTGCGCGTAAAGCTACACGAGGGCTATCTGCGCTAGCCGTCCCTAATTTAGCAGTGTAAGACTAGAGGGAAAGCAGCTAGTCATCACCACCCACCGCCAACTCTTGGGCTACTCTTTTACCAACGAATAATGGGATTGACCGTCACATTATAACGCCCCCACGGCTGAAAGGGGCGAGCATGTTTGGTGACCCTCAGATTGCGAGTCGAGCGCCCTAACCACCTGGCCATGCCGGGCCTATTTTAATATATTCAAATCAATTTGAGAATATTATATTTCACACATAAACACCATGAATGTTTTAACTTTTGTCTTTACTAATTTCAGGGCCTCACAGTAGCGGTTCTCTATTGTTTTTTCAACGGAGAGGTAAGTTAAATCTTTTTTTTACTGATAAAAATTATTTCGTCTCTTGTCTACAGTGTTTTATACAATAAATATTATGTTAAACTGTATAGATAGCTATAGCGAATATAAATGCTACTGTTTCAACAGGTCCGGAACTCATTACGTCATCACATGGAACGCTGGAAGATGAAGCGGGCACTAGAGGGCGCTCCTCGTCATTCTGTCAACTACCGACCATCCCAACATAGTGAAAACTTGAACTCGTATTGTAGCAGGAGGTCTCGCAATAGAGGGAGCTGCGTTAGCTTTACTACTTCAATATCTTTTATCAGTGGCGCCAGTCACAACACACAAAGTGGTCACAAGCATAACGAAACATCCTTCATGATGCTCTCGGCAAAACCTGATGCAAGTTAGAAAAGAATAAACGGAAAACTTAAGTTATAGTTCACTTTGCTATTAAATCGTTTGTTTACTAACAGCACATATGAACTTTGTGTGACAAAAAAATAAAAAAAGGATCTCGAAATTTAGAAGAATTTCATTAACAGGTTCACATAAGTTAATATCAATATGTAAAATAAATTATCAGTAAATAATCTCGAAAATTATAAAAGTTTCTGTAAAATATAAAGGAACGTCAACGAACACAGCTTTATTTACAGTTGTTGGTGTATGAGAAAATATGTCACTAAACAACTGGACACTGGTCAACATTATTGACCAAAAATCAGATAATATATTGAGTCATTTTTGTAGACGTTATTACGATATTACCTCTATTGTGTAATCGGACAATATTGAGTATTGTTGGGAAAGTATCTTATTGTATTACGTTATTTTACCGAGAAACAAAAACTCAAATACTATCTAACCCAGCACTGAATACATAGAAAAGTGTACGGGTATGTGTTATGGAGACACGGGCCTAGGAAAATGGACACCACGGTTCGAACAAAGATATTATTGTGGTTGTTCTTGCTCTTGTTCAAGAAGCAAAACTTTGTGTAACGTCAAACGAGAATTTCAAAATAGATATGGAACTGTCTCAAGTGACTGCACGTTGTTATTGGACCTCTGTAATCGTAATTACAAAACGTTGGGTGAATTGTTTCTTGATAGTACCACCTTGTTTTGAATTCATGTACTTGTTAAGATTACGTGAATATTTTAAGATTTATTGTGTTATAATACCTAGTTTATGGAAGTATTGATGTTTAAAAATGTTGCATCAAGAGGGCGCAAAACAGATATAAATGCAATAAGGGCTAATTTTTTTATATTCTATGATCCGAAAGAGAGTGTCAAGCAGAAAAAAAAATAAGCACAAGTGACGCCTTTTAGTTAGTGATAGGAACAGTTAGAGCTATCTTGCTCTAGACGAGACATTCCTGAGTTATATCTCGATACAGTTAGAGCTATCTTACTGTAGACGAGACATTCCTGAGTTATACCTAGATACAGTTAGAGCTATCTTACTGTAGACGAGACATTCCTGAGTTATACCTAGATACAGTTAGAGCTATCTTACTGTAGACGAGACATTCCTGAGTTATACCTAGATACAGTTAGAGCTATCTTACTGTAGACGAGACATTCCCGAGTTATACCTAGATACAGTTAGAGCTATCTTACTCTAGACGAGACATTCCTGAGTTATACCTAGATACAGTTAGAGCTATCTTACTGTAGACGAGACATTCCCGAGTTATACCTAGATACAGTTAGAGCTATCTTACTCTAGACGAAACGTTCCTGAGTTATACCTAGATACAGTTAGAGCTATCTTACTGTAGACGAGACATTCCCGAGTTATACCTAGATAC